TGACAATCTTGTCTAAATGAGAGAATAAATTCCAAATGACATGAACATCTTTAGCTACTGCGACCAATGTCAACTGTAATCGATGAACAAAACAATAGACATAGTATGCATATTCACAATCTCTAACAAATAAAGCTTGAAGTCCATTCTAAGCACCACACATATTACTCGCACCGTCATACCCTTGTCCTCTCATTTTGTTCACCTGAAGTTCAAATTGAGCAAGAACATCACATATTTTGCTTTTGAGATTCGACGATGTGGTATCACTAACTCTTTTGATTGCAAAGAATCGTTCTATCAAACAGTCATGACTATTCACAAACCTCAATATAATCCCCATATTTCTCAATTTGATGCATCTTATGCTTCATCAACAAGAATGCAAAAGCATTCATCCCCAACTTCCTCTCGAATCATTCGTCGTACTCTATTGGCCATAATATGCAAAATTTCTTTTTGAAAGTTGGAGCAATGTATTGTGGATTTTGTGGTGTATTTTCCAATACAACTTTTCTAATTTATGGACTAAAATCTGCCGCATACTTTATTAGTTGTATAAAATTCCCACGATTAAGAGAAGAAGGTGATTCGTCGTTACCTCTATACCCTAAACCTTGAAATGTCAGCTATTGAACACTTTTAATTGAAGTCATTATACGCAAACGACGTTTCTGAAGTTCCTCTTTCAGTACAGTATGCATCACCTTGTCAATATGCTGAGACGGTCTGATTAAATCTTTAGCTCTAATCTCACACAGTTTATGATGTGTTGAATTAGCATGAATAAGAAATGCACACTTGCTTCCATCTTTAACCCTCTTCCATTTATTATATCCTTCAGTAACCAATCCGGAACATCCAGACATAGATATACTTTCAGTAGATTGCCCCGTCTTTTTAAAGAATGAAAATATTGTCTTCATTCTCTTTGATGAAGGTTGAGCTTCCATTTGCAAAGGCTGAAAATGGTAGAAAGAATAAAAAATAATTGAGACCACATTAAAAGATCAAATACTTACACATTTNATCATACTATCCAAATTCCAATTTATTAGTATACTAATTACTAAATAGATTTGAGCCTCCTCACTCCTTAGTCCTCACCACAGGTCCATCGTCCACAGCAAGTAGCAGCGAGCAACCAGTCAACCACTATAACTCTATTTCTATATACTATAAACAAAATACCAGTAGGCAATCGGCAGTACACCACATGTCCAAAATCACCAGTCACTATTTCTAATTTTCTATTGAGTATTAACCATTATAGTATCAATTCAACACAAAAGATGTAAAACAAAACCAGAATACCAAGCAGCAAGAAAAATAAACTTCAACTTACCTGGGATTGGGAATTTGGAAACTACCGTGAGGTCCATAAGCGAAGTCCAGCTAGAAAAAAATCAGGGTCAGCCCACTGCCCAGCCACTGTAAATTAAAAAAAAAACAGAGTCAAAACAAAACCAACATTCCTATTCCACTTCCAGCAAGAAATAAAAAACCCAGCAAGAAAAAAAAACCAAGCAAGAAAACAAAATACCACCACTGAAAAATGGAACCGCCGTCTGCCGAACTGGTCGACTCAACTGGATGAAGCCCTCTGCTCCTGCTCGGCGCTTCGACTGCTCCAAGTAAATAGGTAATGAAGATTTTGATTTTGAAAATTTGAATTGATTTCGTGCGAGTGGTGGTGTCGATCTGGTGTGATTCGTGAGTAGAGGGAGAGGGATTGAGGGATGGGTTAATGAGTTATAATTGGGTAATTTGGGTTAGGTTTTAATTGGGTGGGCTTGTTCAAATAAATAAATAAAAAAAACCTGGATGGACTGGGTTGATTTTTTAACTGGGCTTGTCCCCAAAAAAAAAAAAAAATTCTTTAGCTGGACCGGGCTATAGTCCCCCTCCATTTGTCCTTGATTTCAGATTTCATCTGCATTGTGTATTCTGTTTCAGTTGCTTATACTAATTCTTAAGTTTTAATATAGGTTGCTCAAGCACACGAAAATTTGCAGCAAGATGATGTTGCCCCAGTGTTGAAGTTCCAGAAACCAAAGCCAACAACCCCCAAACCTTTTAGGCTAAGAACTGACGTTATTATTTCTACCAAACAATTAAATAGTAAATATACCTAAAAAAATTTCACTTTTTCCTAGTATCGTCGCTGCAAACAAAAAATTGGAAGTGCCTTTGATTCTGGTGATTGTCGACAAGTACTGATCGGGCTCGGGAGATTTGCAGGAGAATCGCCTCTCCCCTTATCAGTCTTGAATATTCCAATGGTTGGGAACCTTTAGCTAAGGGTCAAAGTGGAATCAGTTTCTCCCAGGAGTTCTACGAAAGCTTTATGTATAATTTGGATGAAGTCGAATCTGCAACTCGTACTTCTCAGAGATGAATTTGTTGGGAAAGAGTACGAGATGGGGCCGGCTTTTCTTTTTCTCTGTGTATGTTGGTGGGTGAAAATTTTGGGGAAGAAGGAGATGGGGTGGGGTAGGGTTTTTTTTTTTTTTTTATTTAATGGAGGAAATGTATTATGTCTAAAATATCCATACCTTATTTGAAGAAAATTATTAGATTTTTAATTATTGGGTCAACTGACAGTTTTTAGGGTCAAACTAACGTAAACAGTTATTTTGGACTTGGGCTGCGATTTTTTAAAAGGTTTGGAACTGTGAGTTGTACAAATGAAAGATTTGGACAAATTCTGCAAAAAATTGAAAAGTTTGGTACCTGGACTGCAATTTTCCCTTGAATATATTGCATGCCTTTTTCATTTGATGAGAAATAATTGGTATCCTATAAAGGATAGTATCGTCTACACATAAAGACGTACGTACACTGTAGCATACCGCTCTAGCCTTGTCGCCATTTGCTTGATGCGATTTGATTACTTGTGAGCCGGATTAAAAAAACCTCGTCATCTGCGCCTATAATATTCTCTCTCTCTACCTCTACCTCTGCCACTCCAGTCTCCCAACCACATCCCAACTCGCCACGTGTTCCCACGACCCATCCCTCCACGGCTCCACTGCATGTCTCTCTCACTACCTCTACCGCTGCCCCTCCAGTCTCCCAACCACATCCCAACTCGCGACGTGTTCCCACGACCCTTCCCTCCACGGCTCCACTGCCATTTCGAGATTCGTTCTGCCTTGGTCCGACCCGGTCCCAACCTCCTCTAATCTTGTACTGCAACTTCGTTTTCCGCTCCTCCCATTAATTCTTTCTTGCTATGGTGTTAGCACAAGCTGAGTATTTAAGTGATATTTATTTCAAAAAATATCTATTGATACTGCTCCATCAAAATGGCTTCTCTTACACCAGGGATACTGCTTAAGCTTCTTCAGAATGTAGATAACAATGATTTTAAAGTTGCTGGGGAACACCGTTCTGCTCTTCTTCAGGCATGTAAACGAATATTTTCCAGATTTTGTTTTGGATGAAAAGGAAAAGAAGACTATAAATCATGCATTTTAATTTTTTTTTCTTTTTCTTTCTGTTTCTGGGCTAATGAGATTGTGGGTTTTGTTTTTAGCAACGTTGTGAGTTTTTTAAATATTTTTTTTCCTGTTGAGAGTTCCTGGCATTTTCAAGATTTTGTTTTGGATGAAAAGAAAAAGAAACCTGTATTTTTTCCCTTTTCTGGGCAAATGAGATTGTGGGTTTTGTTTTTTTAACGTTGTGAATGTTTTTTTCCCTCCCTTTTCTATTTATAGTCAATGGCATTTTCATTGTTTTCCCCCTTTTCTGGGCTAATAATGAGGTTTTATTTTTCCTTTTATCAACTCTCTAAATATTTTTTATTCTTTTATTCTCAAGTGTTAATGGCATTTTCAAGCATTTATTTTATATTGAAAATAAAGAAATCAGTATTAATCATACATTTACATTGTTTATTGCCTTCTGGGCTGATGAGAATTTGGTTCTCATTTTATGAACATTGTAAATTTTCTTCTTTTTTCTGATTCTGTCGAGTGTTAATGGTTTTTCTTGCAAGTTCAGTAATTTTTCCCTCGTGGGGTGTTTGTATTTTAGGTTATTAGTATTGTGCCCTCACTAGAAGATGATCCATGGGAGACCAAGGGATATTATTTGAGAGTTTCAGATTCAGTACATTCAGCTTATGTGTCTGTATCAGATGAAGATGTGGAGTTAATACTGGGTGACAAGATCCAACTCGGACAGTTCATTCACGTTACTCGGCTCGATACGGGCTCCCCTGTTCCGGTGCTTCGCGGGGTTAAACCAGTCCCTAAGAGGCGGCCCTGCATTGGAGATCCTAAGGACTTGATTGCCAGTGATTTTCTGAATGCTAAGAAAGTTGAAGCCAAGGTGAAAACAACAAAGGGAAAGGTAAAGAAAGCTGCAGAGGGTAAAAATAGAAGGCTTTCTTTAGGAAATGTGAAGGTTGGGTGTGGGGAAGGTCGAAGACTGAGCTTGGATTTGACTCGAAAAGGATGGGATAACAGTCCTGTTAGTAAAAATGGTGGTAAAGGCATATCGAAGTCTAAATCTAACAATTCACATTCGTTTTCAGATTCTGTAAGTATTTCTCTCTATATAAAAGTGTGCAAATACAGGTGCTTGCTCACTGGATTAATTGAAGTATGTTATCTGTTTTTGCCATTTTCTGTTTCTGTTCTGTTAGAAAGTCTGAACTTTTATATATCTATGGTTGTTTTGATAATTTTTCTGTACCAAAAGCTAAGCATGTAACAAACTATTATGGAATAAAGAAGTGACAACAACGACATTCAATAAGGGTGAAATTTCTTAGGTTTCCTTGTACTGTCTTGTGACAACAACGACATTCAACTATTATGGACTCTATTGTACTGTCTTGTGACATTCGTGTCCTAATGGAAAATTTGAGAGATTCAAAACCCTAATAATAGGATGGCTGTCCAACAAGTATTGGATTATAGAGAAGTAGCTAATGCATTTATTGTACCATCCTAAGGTTTCAGTAATTGATCTAGAGCCCAACTTCTTCATTAATATTTTGATTTCTGCCATGAATATAACTGAACAGGAAAGAAAAATATGATTTGGATGATTTCTGATCCTCTTCTGTCCCAAAGAAAGGGGTTTCTTCAGATTATATAAGGTATTAACTCTTATACAAAATCACAAGCATAATCTCAATTTTACAATGTTTCGGCAATCTAATGATTACATGTTTTTCTAGGAAACTCGAGGTTTATTTCTTAATCTGTCTGATGTAATGTCTTCTAAATTTCCATGACTGGTTATTAGTGGACAAATAAGAAACTTGATACAACTCTCTCACTCTCCCCCATCTTTGTGTCCCTGTATTGAATAAATTTCTCAAATATACTAAGGTTTTTCGCTAATATTTGCATTCAATTTCCATTTCTAAATAAATATTAATTTGCTATAGAACTTTGATTTCTTTGAGTGTTTACTCTGATATGTTCTTTGGATAGATGTTAATTCTCAATTGTATCTTGATAATGCTCACGCAAGTAGGTTTATTGTCTGTTTGTACATTTCTTGCACATGATGACTTCACATTGACTTTTTCTCCAACTTAGTATATGTTACCTTTGCAGATGGTTACTAAGAAGGCTTCTCCCGAGAAGGACTTGATTCCAAAGCATTCAAGCATTTTCCCACTTAAAAGCAAGAACGTGATTGTTTCTCCAAAGCATTTAAGCAAGCCTATAACAAAAAATCTAAAGTCATCAGATAGCGATATTCTTCCTAGTAATATCAACTGTAAAATATTTTCAGATTCAAAGAACTTGTGGAGTTCACTTTCTCCTACAATCCGTGACATTGGAGAGGTGCACACACTCAGATGTACAAAACTTGTAAGATTTATAGTCTAACCGTTCTATAAAATAATGTTTATGTGAGTTGTGCTTTTCAGGAAGTTCAAAATTATAGGAATGTCGCATTTGTATCTGCAGCTCGTGCACTAGAAGAAGCATCTGCATCTGAAGGGATCATTCGCTGCATGAGGTAATTTGTTTCTAATTTCACATATGATGCCATGACTCCTAATCTCAGAATTTATGGAAATATGCTCTGCCGATATACCTGATTTGTCTTGTCAGCATTGATAGAATGTTATCCCTAATTTACTGATTCTACTCTGCCGTTTTTCGCAAAGCCTCCTCTGTACCTGATTTTTAGAAGATCAAACATTCTTTCCGTACTCCACTTTCTATTTTTTAACACATCGGCCCTTTGTAAATTTTAAGCAGACAATAACGTCAGAATCTAAAGTGGATGGGTGGAACCTTTATGTTTCATTTAAATAAGTCACCTTTCGGCACATATTTTGATTGTTATATGACTGCTATTTATTATTTTAAATAAAAGATGCTTTTCCTTCTCGTAGAGTAACATGTTTAGAAAAACTGTTGAAAAATGTTAGCCCATGTTTGGATTATGTTTATGAACTGTTTATAATTTGTCAAATCACTTTTTATCCACATTTAGTGGGACCTACAAGCTACTCATTTATCCACCACTCATTTCTATCTTTTAAGAATTTAAACCATTTATAAACACTTCGCGAACATTAGTTTAGTTGATTTAAGCCATTTATAATCATTTCTAGTCGAAGTTATTTAGTTTTGAATTCATAAAGATACAATTAAGTGCAGCACAAAATTAAAGCTATGGATTATGAAGGCTTATTTTCTCTTCGGACCTTGATTCTATGTCGTGATTCCTCTCAACCAGTAGTTCTTGTATTCTTGTTTTAGTCCATAACAAAGGGATACTAACATTCTCTACTCTTGTACAATGAGAGATAATCATTTGACAGATAATGTTCTTGCAATTTTATTTACTGACAATTCCAGGTGGCATTATTTTTCTAGTCTGCAAGAACCTTTAATTGTCCCAAGGGTGTCCGTCTTAACCTGTTCAAGGTTGTTAGCTAAGATCTCTACCCTTTTTCTGTAGTATGTTTGCAGAACTATGTGACTCGTCTCAGAGGGATTCTACAGGACAACTTGTAGAGCAGTTTTTGAACCTTCATGAGAGAATGAAGAAAGCAGCTATAGTTATTAAAGCTCTCTTAAGCAGTAGGGCATCTGATGCAAAAGACAGCGATTACTGTAGTCTGCAATGTTCACCACTGAAGATTAGCAACAATTCTGCAAATAATAATGCCTCGTTGTGGGTACACGCTGCAGTTGGAACTGGTCTTTCCAAATTCTCTTTATTTACTGAGGAAGGAGAGAAGTGCACTACAAATGGTGACAAACATCACTATGTCAGAATGGAAGACACTGCAACGAAAATTGATGAGGAAAATCATTCACCTAAAAACAAGAAAACCCCATTAATCCGTGGGTCAAGTAGAGCAGATTCAGAGGTGAAAGGAATGCAATCTTGTTCAAGGAGCACTTTTTCCAGCACAAAAGTAAAAAGTGTAGGAACGGAAGCTTGGTCACAGGACACAGGATTAAAAGATGATGCTAATCTAGCAGACAAGTTGTTCTCATCATCTCGTATCTGGTTTTTGAATTATTTGGAAGGTTCTTTAAACAACGGATTTGGACTGAGAACCAAAGGAGATAGTTCTGAAATTGCAGGCTTTCTTGGGCAGCTTAGAAGGGTTAATCAATGGTTGGATGATGCATTTAAAGAAGGATGTGGAGATGATGAAAGAATAGAAAGGTTGAAGAAGAAGTTATACACATTTCTACTTGATCATGTCGATTCCGCACTTCTTACGGGCCGGTAGAGCCTGACCACTCAAGCTAAGACTACAGAATTGATTTCTTTATCACAGTACACTTCAAATGAGTTTACTTTATTTGAGTTTTGTTAACTTCATTGTATCGCAAAGTGAAAGGAGTCATAGTCATGCTTCCTTTTTAGTTAAATGTATAGGAAGGTTTACTTTGTGCTTTCCCAAATGAGGAACATAATTGAGTAAAGAGAAATGCTATTCATCCCTACTGGGGATGCATCCCCAGTCTATGTGGCGTTACTGTGACATTAAATGATAGGTGAAATTAAATAAGTTATTTAATTTCACCTATCATTTAACCATTCATTTACATCCACATAGACTGGGGATTCATTCCAACTGGGGATGAATAGCATTTTTCTTGAGTAAATGTAGTTGTGAATTTTTGAATATTTTATCTCACCTCTCTCAAGGTTTAGGCAGTGTTTGATATGCCTCATTTTCTCAAGGAAAAGGAAAATGTTTCCTTCTCTCATTTTACACCATTTGATTGCCAAACTTTTGCCCGAAAAATGTTTTATACCCTCCCTCCTCACGCATCTCATTTCTAGGTTGTAGAGGAATTTCTTTTCTTGCCTATTTGGGGGTTTTATGTTTTTTAGGTTTTTTTTAGGGCAATTGGAAAATATTCTAAACACAATGGTAAAACAATTATCACTTTTATTGACAATTTTCATGTAAAACAAAGCCAAATGAATGATACTTGGTATGGTAAAAGTTTTTAGCAATTGGAACAAATTCTAAACCCAATGGTAGAAACAATTATCACTTTAGTGAACAATTTTCATGAAAAACAAAGTCAAACGAATGTCAAATTTTCAACATTTTCTAGGTGGAAAATTAACAAATTAAACACAATTAATTACAATTTTCAGTAAAATAATTTTTAGTCAATTCAATTTCTCGTAAAACATTTTCTTTCCACCCATTTCCACATTTGCAATCAAACGAACCCTTATTTTTAGCTGTGATTATTAGGCCCACGTTTGGCCCTCATTCTCAAAAATTCATTTATCTCCAACTTATTTTTAACTATATTTCATTAGATTCACAACTTTTATCAAATTTTCAATCACACGTCTCATTAATTTTCATCAAAATTTACTAAAAATTAGATTTTTATCTAAAATAAACAGGGGTTAGTATTGCTTTACATTTATGGTTTTTTTTGGGTGCTATTGCTAAATAACAGAAACTGATGAATAAAACTATTGCTGATTAAATCCACTCTGCATCTCTTTATATTAAAAGGAACAATTTGCAGAAATTCATGAAGAACAAGTAAAACATTCTTAAATTTTACTAAAATGAATCCTATGAAATGAAAAGTTGTAAGAATTAAGTATTTATGTAGTAGCCAGAAACTGAATCCTTGTTTTGGGATTCTTTTGATGACAGTCTTTGCGATGTCGTCTGAACTATAGATGCAGTAAGTAAAGGATCAGAAGCTCCCTTGGCTAAGGCTTTCATTCCCTTGCAGGAATTCATATGTGAATGTAGTTTCTCAGGCTTGAATGACTTACCACATTGCCTGGTTCAATTCAAACAAAAATATCACTTGACTAGTCCGATTAAGATGATTGTACATGGTGTAACGATTATTATTTTTTAAAATGGAAGTAAAAAAAAGATAACTATATGTGTGAATAATCGACTTACGAGCAATTCGGGCCTCTGATTTGCTTGTAAGCAGTTGAGGGTGTCTTTTGCTTTCTTGAATCCTTCACCCCATCGCAGCTCTTTCTGGAACAAAAGCAAAAACGAAAATAAGTTATTTCTTTTAAGTAACTCCTACTTACCTTATTGACAGAATAAATGGACATTTCAACTAATTAAAAAAAGTAATTCATACAAACATGTTTCAAAAAAGTTATTTTTAGGATAAGCAAACATGCTGTAACTCCTTTGACGAAGTGATTTAATCTTCCAACTCAGACTGAAAAAACTAAAAACTATTTAAATGAAAAACAAAAAATTATTGAATTTATAAAAATAGTGTTATATTTTTTAATAAATTTTATTGGAGCTCCAATTTCATGAAAATAATAAATATTAATTATTTTATAAAATTATACAATTCTCATTGTTAAAAACTTTACCTAATAACTTGTATTAAAATAGTTTTATTATTAATTAATATTAGTTTAGTCCTTCAAATCTACTAATGAAAAATGAAAAATCTACTATACTTATATACTAGTAATTTAACATATAAAATTGTGTTGATAATCATAAATAGTATTAATTATTTCAGTAATTGAACAATTGAACTCTACTTATAAGTAATTTATAAGTAAGTTTTTAAAACAAAACCAGACTCGATTAAGGATGAGAATTATATAAAATGCTTATACATTGTCCTCTTCTTTTAAACTTATGAAACATGCTTACAGTAAAGGTAAATTACCTGCCATTGCACTGTTGTTGATTCCATGAAGTCCCAAAGATCGTCTGAGAGCCTCCTAGTTTATCCCTTTTGCAAATTGCTGCCGAAAGAACATTATTCTGATCACTAGAACACATATTCAAGAATGGTTTATTCTCTCGATTGATCTTCACAACTGCTGAATCATTAGAATCCACAGCACCACATGATATCAAATTCTTGAATAAGTTGGATTTGCCATTGGAACAGCTCTTGTTCTTTGTGAATGAAGCCTCTGGTGAAGTTAGTGCACTATTTTTATCCATTGGAACTTTTCTGTTCGTCGTCTTCTTGTCCTCACTCGATGGAGTTGAATTCAAATGAGAAGATGGAGGATTCTCATTTCTTATTTCTTTGTAGGGAAGTTTTTGTTCTTGATCAGTACTACCATGCATGTCTACTTGTTTCAAAGTGTCTGATTTTTTCTCCAGATCACGTTCGATGTTTCCCGAATCATCGGTCAATGTAGATGTTTCGGAGCCAAAAGTAGGCGATTCTTCTTCGATTTCTGATGGTGTTTTTGTTGAAACACCCGTTGAAGTTTCCGAATGAATTTGAATGCAAGAGGGCTTGTGGCCTTTTATTTCTTCAGGGGATAATGGTTCTTTTTGAGTGTATGAATGGTCTGTCAAATAAATAATTAAAAAAAGAATAAAAAGAAAAGAAAATTCGTTAGAGATAGGGATGACAAGAAAATCCGACAAACTTACCCGTGGGCCCCGCCCCAAACATGGCGTTGATTACCCGCTTAATCAGGTATTCGGGTCGGGGCGGCGAAGCGAATTTTGCGACGGGGCGAGGACGGGTAACGGGTGCTCCGCCCCGTTTAATTTGTTTTTTTTTTATTCAATGCTTTAAATGAAAAATTTTACGAAATTTCATTAGTTTTAATAGAAAATGGCAATTAAAATTATTTGTCTCAATCTAATAAATGAGGACAATAAAATGAATTATCAAAAACTTAATAATAATAATAATAATAATAATAATAAACGGGGTAGTAAATGGGGCAAGCCCCCACCCTGCCCTGCCTTAAACCGGTAACAGGAGGGAAAATTGCTCGGCGGGGTTGACTTGTCATTATCAAATAGTGAAGTGACTAAAATTGATTTTCTTTTCAAATATTCAAATAAAAGTAAACTGATAATTTAATATGATTTACCTTTATTAAATTTAAGAGTGGGAGACGAAATCTCTGATCCTTTGAGAACATATTCATTGTCCGAAATTGGAGTAATGAGATCATCATCCAGCAAATCTTGCCATATGTAACCTGTCCTATATTTCCTGCATAAAAAAAAAAAAGTTAATGGCGAAAAATTGAAATTTAAAATATTCAAAGACTAAACACGATGAAATTATGAAATGTTGAAGACATAACTTTTGGGCATAGGCAACAATCATCGATTTTAATTGAAGATCATCGGTAATTGATAAATTTGGGTGAGAAAATCATCGACTTTTGTTGAAGTAGGATAAATTGGACTTTTCTTCGGGTGTGATGATAGAATCTCTAATCTCATTCATACTTTCTTCCTCGAAGCCATTTTAAAACTTCAGAGAATTTTTTTTGTGAAGTAATAAACTAGTTTTGACTTAAATGTAAAAAAACATTATTGATCAATATATAATTGTTCTCAATATAACTGAATTCCAGTGTGTAAAATGTACAAACCTCTTGTATGACCAAGAAAATGATTCCGGCATGTCCTGTCCTCGCAATTCCGTCAACCATCTCTTTACATCTATATTCACAATTACAATATCGAAGTCTACATGTGTTATAGACATGCACGTAAAAACTAAAAAGTATACATGCATGGACCAATCTACTTACCTCGTAATCGTACCCCATTTTTAGAGAGGTGATGGACTCGAATAAGATGAGGGTGTTCAACGCCACCACCACTTCGACTAAGGAAGTAGACGATATGAAGTCGCCTGACTTCTGCAGTACTCCTTTGTGCCTCCATTAATCTTCTGCAAAAATGGTAGAAAGAATGGATTCTTTTTAGGTAAATTTTCGAATTAATTAATATTTTTCTTGTTCAAACAAGTCAAAATCCAAGCAAATGAAAAATCTGTTTTCTATGCTGGCTTGATGTTTAAAAGTAAAAGTATAACAAAAATTTACTATTAAAAATGCATCNCGAATTAATTAATTTTTTTCTTGTTCAAACAAGTCAAAATCCAAGCAAATGAAAAATCTGTTTTCTATGCTGGCTTGATGTTTAAAAGTAAAAGTATAACAAAACTTTACTATTAAAAATGCATCAAAATCTGCATGGATGTGCAGGCCTATGAAAACAATATTGTTTATAGAGATTATGAAATGCTCACTCAAATCAAAATGGTCATTGGATGAAGAGATTTACCTTAAATTATTCTCTTCGCAAGAGAGAGAGAGAGAGAGAGTGTGTAAAATAATTAAGTGTAATTTTGAAGAAGAGCAAGTCTGTAGCTAAACAAGAAGTTTATCTGATTTTCCGCAATCTGCTGAAATTATATGGTTATGTAAGTTTGGCAGCTTTTGACCAGGCTTTTAATCCCCACCAAAGATTTTTTCTTTAGCATTTATGATTTTAGAATGATCCACTAATTGATATAGTCATATTAATATGCAATAAATATGGATACTAATTGAGATTCCATATAGTGGCGATCTCCGAAGATTGGACATACGCAGTCGAGTACGATAATTACTTGGTCTAGCTAAAGCACATAAATTATTGAAATTCAATGTGACCTTCACTGAGATCGATTGCCAGAGTCCCAAAAATGGCTTTAGGTCGACCTCGGTCGACCGTCGAAGAGGTTTAGGGTCGCATCCTTCAATTACATGTCATAACAACCAGGTTCCATGCGTTACTATTTCTTGTATTCTTTTTGTATTATTCGAAATGGATAAGGACATAAGTTTCTCTGTAATGGTTTTCGAGTCACGTCATCAATGTGAAGGCTAATATATATTGGTGGTGTTGTAAAACAACCAAGATATTAGAATTGCTCTGATACCAATTATTGTGAAACAAACCACCGAATTGAGATATTAAAGTTATATGACAAATAATAATAATAAAGTATATGATCAAGTAAAAGAATAATAAAGACAAGAAATATGGTAGAGGAATTAAGAGATTTTATTGACTAAAGAATAATGGAGAAGTGAGAAAAATTATAATAGATTCTATAATTCTAGTAATCTATTTTCTCACACCATAAAATTGTACAGAAGAGCCTAATATTTATAGGGAACATGTAGGGACATCCAAACTCTCTTAATAGATGAAGTAGGATACCAAAAATTGAGTCCATAACAAATCCCAACTCTCAATGGGCTTCCAAAATATAACTTCAACTTGACATAGGTCTCCAATAGCATTCCAAACTGAATTCTTCTTGATGTGCACTTCAATTAAAATTTTTGAATTACTTCAATAAGGAATTCGAGTCACACCCAAATTCCAACAATCTCCACCTTGACACGAATTTCACCAAGGAATGAACTGACTTCTTCAACAATAATAAAAAAATTANGGCTTCTTCAACAATAACCAAAAAATTAATTTATCCAACAAAACACAATACTCTACCTCTTCCAATGAATCCAGCACTACTATGCAGAATTACCTCAAATTCTCAAAATATCATAATGATTTTAAATTAATCAAAATGGGCTATAACACACCCCAAAATAGAATCAAACCCAAATGCTTTTAAAGAAGACCACTTGTTAAATTGTACACCTTCTACTTCACTTAAAGCATGCTCAATAAAATCAGTATCCACATACCATTTTTCATTGGGTCCGTCCCTAATAATTGAATACAATGGCACTACAAGTGATGGTGGCAAAGATGCATTATCCATATATCCTGAACTCTACTAAATTGTATTCTTCAAATCCGTCCCTTTATGAGCTCCTAAAGGTATTGTACCAAACTGAATGTCCATCACGGTCCTAAACTTGTGCTCATTGACTCTTCTAAATTCTGCACAACCCTACTAGATATATAACTGAGACATTTTTTGTACCTCCAAAACAACTTGGGCACCCTTACAAACCTTCAAAACTCCACCTTTAGCAAAAAACTCATATCTTTTGAATCAAGGATAGGCAACGAGATGAGATTTTTCTTCAAATCTGGAACATGTCGAACCTAGCCGAGTGTTATCCCATCCAAAAGCTTCAATCTGACTGTACTAATTCCAGCAACCTGACAAGATGCATTGTTTCTCATAACCATGACACGTTTGGAAACAGTTTCATATGTAGCGAACAATTCCTTATTAGGACACATAAGAAACACACATGTTGAATCAAGAATCCAATCACCTTCCGGTTTAGACTCAATGTCAGAAATAGCTAAGAGATCTCCATCACTTACAACGTTCTCCGCGATGTCTGCTTCGCCTAAAGTATCTGAATATCTACTTGCAGCCATCCTTTCTTTATTTTGCAATTTGTAGCAATCCTTCTTTAAGTTCCCGATCTTCTTACAGTAGTTACAAATTTGATTACTGAACTTAGATTTCGATCTGCCCCTTCCAGAACCACCATGAGCAACCAGACCTTCTCCATCTCTGGCCTCAGAAACCAAATGCTTCATCTTCTCTTTTGAATACAAAGCATCATGCACTTCCTCTATGGTGAGAGTATCACGACTATACAAGATCGTATCTCCAAATGAAGAAAACGAAGCGGGTAATGAACATAATAGGATCAAGGCCAAATCTTTTTCATCATACTCTACTTTCAAAGTTTCCAAATCAGCGATGATCTCCTTAAATACAGCCAGACGATCCTCCAATGATCCTTCTTCTGCCATTCGATGAGAGTATAACCGCTGCTTGAGGTTCAACTTGCTTGTCAGACTTTTAGTCATGTACAATTGCTCCAACCTCAATCATAAAGTAGCTGTTGAATTCTCCTTCAAAACGTCCTGAAGAATAGTATTTGATAGATGAAGATGAATGTGAGAAACTGACTTCTTATCCTTCTGTAATTTTTCCTCTGCGGTCAAAGTTGCGGGCATCCTGTCAATTCTTAGCAACGCATCATCCAAATCCAGTTGTGCGAGTATTGCATGCATCTTAACTTGTCATAGTGAAAATTCAGTGCTCCGATTCAAAAGCGGAATGTCATACTTCATGGAATTCATCACTAATAAAAACCCTCGAACAAATCAAACATTGCGCTCTTGCAGAACTGCTGAGCCTGACACTCTAATAGCAATTGTTGTAAAACAATCAAGATACCATAATTGCTCTATTACCAATTGTTGTAAAAAAACCAACGGATTGAAATGTTGAAATTATATGGCAAATAATAATGAAATATATGATCAAACAAAAGAATAATAAAGACAAGAAATATGGCAGAGGAATTAAGAGATTTTATTGACTAAAAAATAATGGAGAAGAGAGAAAAATTACAATAGATCCTATAATTTTAGTAATCTATTTTCTCACACCATAAAATTGTATAAAAGAACCTAGTATTTATAGGGAACATGTAGAAGATATCCAAACCCTCTTAGTAGAATTGTTGATGAAGTAGGATACCAAAAATTGAGTCGAAAACAAATTCAAACTCCCAATGAGTTTCCAAAATAAAACTTCAACTTGATATACTCCAATAATATTCCAAACTGAATTTTTCTTGATGTACACTTCAATTAGAATTCTTCAATTATTTTAACAAGGAATTTGAGTCACACCCAAATTCTAACAGGTAGTAAGAGCTTCAGATATATTTTCCTAATGCATACTTCCATTTCTTAGCTTTTACATCATATACTTATTTAATGGATCAAAATGTCCTACTAGGAAAAGTTATAATGTGAAATTTTAATACTGCATAGGGCTTGAAATTACCTAAAGAAATTGAAATATCTTGGCCTCATCTTAGTTATTTACAGGATAGTATATAAAATTTATATAGTAATATATAATTATCTAATAGGAAATATCTCCATAAGTTGAAAGGAGAAACGAACCATATATAATATATATTTTCAAATTAATAAATTAAATTTTCTCCTAATCCTATAGCATTTTATGTATCTGCTACCATTAGTTAATCCCCATTCTCCTTTCTTACAGCATAAATTAATTTGCATCAAATAAGCTTTCATACTTCCCAGGTTATGAATTCATGAAAACGAATGAACAAATACTTTAATCTTGAGCAACGGTTTTTTGCTGAACAAACAGCGACTTTATTATAAAAAAAAAAAAGTTTCGTCGAAAGTAAAATTTATTGTAGGAACGTTCATGAATAAGCAAAAATAATGACATGATGCTGCCTTCTAATTAATAAAGAAGCAGAAAAATATGGGCTGACCTTTTCACCATGCGTTCCTTCGATTTTTCAACTTGTCAAAATAATCTATTGCGGAAGCCGCATTTCTTGTTCCGTTTTATTGGAAAAAATTAGGATTTCCCGCAAAATCACATAAATGGCGTAGCCCTGCCTTGAAGTGATCACTAAGGATTAAAGCTGACAAATTCTGAGATTAATATAAAACAACTGATGGCATGATTACGACAAGAAATTCATTTATTTTCAAATGGATCCATTTATTCGAATTTGGAAAAAGAATCTGCCAAAAACTTTAACAAATATTCTTTCAAAATCTTACAAAACAAGAATTGAATCTCATGATCGCCATGCATAAAGATAAGAGAAAAAAAAATATATAAAAATGGTAACTGTAATTAAAATCATCATTTAATCATAAACTTCTTACATGGATTTCTGTCTTACTCTTATCCTTGAAGTTTCACTAGTCGTTTTCTTGGCCTTGTATACGCACCTATTAAGTATACCAATGCGCGCAGTACAGGCCGGTGCACGAAAGGATATATAAAAGAGGAAGTCACGGTTTAAGTTACTTGTTATGGAAATTAGTATAACCCAAGAAAAAAAAATAAAGGCCAACGAATCCAAATGTAAGTATAAATAATATGG